GATTAAATTGGGATTTGACCAATCAAAGCAAAATTTACTAAACTTGATATTAGTTATTTTTCTTCTGATTGGTCAAATTTCAATCCAATCTCAACCTCAATCGCTAGTGTGATTACGGCTTGAACACCCCGCAATCGTGCTCGCGATGAACCATGCCATGAGCGCGCGAATTTCAGACGCTGTAGGATAACTTTAATCGTTTATAATTTCAAAAATATTATAGCCACGACATTTTTGTATAAGAGTTTTCGTCTTAGAATGCTCCCCAGAATCTGCCAGTAAAAGACATACGACTTTTTTGGGACACCCTGTATATTTAAGGTTGAAAAAATGAAAGATCGCAGAAATAAGTGTTCAATATAAACATGATTCTACAAATTTTAATAGGACAATATGTTGTGAGATAATCAAGAAAAAGATTTACAAGCAATTCTAATTGAACTTTCAAAAAGTTCATAACATTCATACAAATTAAAATTATATATAGTAATTCTTTTTCAAAATTAGAAAAACTTCTGCAGTTTTGGCATTTGTTTTAAATAATTTCTTTTCAAAATATACACAAACATGCATTTAAAAAGTAAGTTGTCTGATACAGACTTTTGTCCAATCAATGATAATAAAAAGATAAATCATCATACAGATACAGAGAACACACAGACCATCAAAGGAAGAACATTAAAAATATATTTTTGAAGTTTCTCTTTAAGCCTTACTAAATCACATTGTTCAATAGAACGTGAACATGCAAATAAATGTGATTTTAAAATATATGCCAAACTGTAATAATATTATAATAAAAATAGTAGTATTAGTTTGATCTTTTTGATAGTTTTTAAGGGATTTTTGAGAGTATGACATTCTTCTTGTAAACAAGTATATAAAGATAGGCAAGATTTTCATGATAAAAGTTTATTTGTTAAACCTGTTCCATTTCGATTGCCCTTACACTATAGATTAATCATATGATAATCTGCGAACCTAGACTGTTAACCTAAAGATACCAGATTTATAGAGACTAAATGGAATCTAACCCTTTAATCTTTCAAGTATTGGTTTTAAATAATAATTGAATAAATTAAATACAATCTACGAAATGATTTTAAGTTTAGAAAAATAAAGAAAATAAAACAATCATAGAAAATAATCTTAAAAAACTATTCTATTCCTTATCGGAGAATTCTTTTATCGGTAATTAATTATAATTTCTATTATTTTAACTTACCATTTATTTCCTTAGTTGCATCATTTGTATCATAGCCATTCACAAGCACTTGCCGTACTCGGAAATCCTCTTTGCGATTAATTATTGCCTGGACGGGCGATTCTCCATTTTTATTGGACCAGCGACCTTTTGCCCCGCGTTGTTGTTGCAATGCTGGTCTTGTAGAGGTATTTGTTACACTCGTAGTTTCAGGACGGTTTCCACCTAGTTATGACATGAAATACTATGATTATTGAATCGTATGAATAAAAAAAAATAAGTTTAATATTTATAATAAATAATATTGTAAGGAGTATGCAAAAAGTAAAAAAAAAGCTAAATAAAATTTTGCTCTGAAACTTTTAACAAACATTCTACAGGTGTTTAAGAACATAATAATAAATAAATTTTGCGAAGAAATGGCCAGAAGTGTCAATATAGCGAATTGGTCTGTATCATTCTCACTAAATTTGCGTCTGCATTACTTTACATCACTGTTTGTATGTGTGCATACGTGTACGTGTGCGTATAAAGGCACCAATTGGACTATATTCAGGACTATACTTGTCCGTTTAGTGCAAGTCTTCGACCACAGAACGTTTAAAAAATCGCGCAACGATTTTTCCACTTTCTCCTATACAGCCTTTATGCACAAACCGTGTATACAACATTCTCACAGAACAGTCTTCCTTTTAGTTCATATTTTTCTTCGTTTATCTGTTTATTTTTGTCGTGTCTTTCAATTGATTCTCTGATCTTTCAGTTCCATAGTTGCTTTATGTAATTAAAGTTGTTTTTGAATCAAATTTTATCTCATGATTTGAACTTTCTCGGTATACCTTTTTTTGTCACTTTTATCTAATCAGGAGTCTCGGTGTGTATTATTGAATTTTGCTCTTTACTACGATATGAAAACTTTACCTTATATGTATAAAATATCAAAAGTCTTCGATCATAGAACATTTAAAAAGTCGCACAACAATCTCCCCTATACACAGACCGTATACACAACACTCTCACAAAACAATCTTCCTTTTGATTCATATTTCTTTTCATCTATTAATTTATTTTTGTCGTGTCTTCCAATTGATGCCTTCTACGCACATATAATGTTACTGATGCAAAATGCAGACACAAATCTAGTAGAAGCGACACAGACGACCAATCCGCCATTGGCACTTCTGGTCATTTCTCTGCAACGTTACATTCTTAGATTAGTAGAATGTTTCTTGAAAGTTTCAAAACAAAATTTTATGTTTAGCTTTTTTCCTACTTTTTGTGTACTCTTTTTATTAAAATTTAATAAAATAATATAAGAGTTTTGGCGGTAAAATCTGCCTTTGTATTGACTGATCACATTACTATATTATTATTGATCACTAAGTCAATAATTTATTTATAAGTATATAATATCACGACATAATAATACGCTGAATACGATAAAAGTAGCAGCGCGGAAGATAAGAGCATTATGATTAAGAAATAACGGAGAAAAGAGCATATGTAAGTAGAGATTTATAATTTTTTTAATGAGATTTATAATAGAACCAATTTTGGTTTGTGTCTGTGTCGTAATTACACAATCGCTTAAAAAAATATTAAAAATGTAAAAAAGCGCCAAGTTGTAATATACAGCAATGGAAAAAACCAAACATAATGCCATCAAAAATAAGTAAAATCAAAATTATTCCGAGTATATTTAATTCAAATTAATGGATAAAGACCTAATGAGCCAAGCCAGACGTATGCGCTCAAATATTTAAATATATTGTCAATGATCTAACAAACATCGACTTTACTGCCCAGCAAATTGTCATTGTATGTATCAATCTCATAGTTGTTGTTACTAGTATAGGAGATAAAATGAGATGTCTATTGGAAATCTAAGAAAAGTTATACCGAAAAGTTTAACTGTAAGGAAATGGTACAGAAGATATGGTAGTGGAAGTAATAATGTAATTGATAGGAGGGAGAAATTCAAGGACCGGTAGATATGTGTCCGAGAAGAGTTCCGTATCATTTTGCTTATTTAAACCGTTCGACTGCTTTTTATGTGGATCATCTCCTTGTTAGAACTTGATCGGTTTAGTCGTTATTGAGATCTGGAAAATACAGGTGCTCGCAACTTGCCGACTCGTGTGAAGAGACATGGTCGGTCTCGTAAGTAGACTTGTTACAAGACACTGCCGTGTCTTCTGATTTCGTGCACAAAATTTAAAGAAACACGTAGTATAATACATATGTATTTTGGGCAGATATCTCACAATCCTGATAGAATTAATATATAGATTCTAAAAATTCCTTTTTATTTCTGTGATCCTCAATACGCTATCTATTGCACTTCTTATTTTTCATTTCATTTTGCTGCTAAATTTTATATATTTTAAATGTCTTCCATATTCTATATTATAGATTGTAAAATATTTTTAAAATATATAAAATTTAGCGGCAAAATAAAATAAAAAACGACAAATGCAATAGATAGCGTAATAAGGGTCGCAAAAATAAAAAGGGATTTTTGTATCAATAATAAGATTAATAAGTAACACATTATGTGACAGATAAAAATTGAAGATGGAAAAAATCTCCAGCAGCACCATATTTGGTGCATTTTGCATGTATTACTTGCATATAATTCATGCAAGTCATACAAATATACATGCAATTCATTCAAATATTGTAAGAAGAATCCCTCTTCCCTTAAAACCTGTAAAGGATTCTTATAAATGCTTGTTAGCATCAAAAATATTAAATTGCTCGTCAATTTAATTCGTTACAGTGGATTCCGGATTCATGTAAGAATTGTGTTTTAAGACCGACAAAATTGTGGCGCGCAATTTGTGTAGGGCAGGATATTGTAACAATATACACACCAATATCCGTGTTGACTTGCATTAGACTTTACTTTGTTATGTATTTCTTATCTAAACTTAAATATATATAATATAGAAAATATTAAATTGCACACGATTTATTGTGCTTGAATCTATATTATTAATCCAACCACTATTCATATACATATTATTAATTTTTCAAGAGTTAAGATTATTTACGTATTTTAATAAAACTAACAAAGCATTAGAAATAATAACTTGTAAGTACAATATTGTTTTAATGTTACAAAATACATGTTTAAAGTCTTTTCAAAGAAAAATATAAGCTAGCCTTATAATTATTGAAGTGTAGTTATATACATTCAATAGATTTTTTGTAAAGCTGTGTATAATCTCTATTTAATCACAACAAATATATTCAGTAATTTATAGAGAAATATAAGTCGGGAAGTAATGTAGAAAATTTTTTGCAAATATATAGCTGTGATGATTGATATAGGTCAGAAACACATTTCGAAATTTACGAAGTAAATTATTTAACATAATATATTCACTAAGCAAATCTACCATATTTCTATGTTAATTAAATCAATGTTCAATTGTGTTGTTACTAACATATATTTTTATATTTAGTATTTTGAATTTTTTAATAATATAAAGCATTATATTTTAATTTCAATTTACATATTATATGTATTTGAACGGGATTTAATAATTCGTATCACCAATTGGCAATCTAATATAAAATTTTCTAATTAGTGGAAAATTTATAAGCTCTAGCTGATGTGTGCTTTTGGAACTTTAGACTAACGGGACTCTTCTTAAAATACTACAGTCTAATAAAATCTTTATAAAAATAAAGTATTAATTTATTTAATAATAAAATCTATTTTTACTAGGGTTGGGTAAGTTAATATATTTTTTAACTAAGTTAAGTTAAAGTTAACAGTCTAAAAATTTAACTTAGTTAAGATACAAGTTAGTTCATAATAAAATTAACTAGAGTTAAAAGTTAAATTAATAAAAAAAAAGTAATTAAAAAGTTCAAGTTACATTTTGTCATTTTATAATTTTAAGGTTTTTAAATAAAGTTTCTAAATAAAGTATATATTTGTTATTTCTGTCGAGCCGCGGAAAGAGGACCGAAGGACTTCTTCCAACGTAATTTAATACACAGAAGGTCCGCGAACAGTGATTCCTTTCCGTGGTCAGACTATATTTATTATATTATTAAAATTGTCTTGATGTGTATTCTCAAATTTTATTGTGGGTTTACAAGCGAAGCACTAAAAATGTAACTTCAAGAAAGTTAGATCAAAAGTTAATAGCTACCGATAAAATGTAAGTTAAAAATTAAGAGCTTAAAATGTAACTAAATTAAGTTAAAATTATTTAACTTTTCAACTTTTTAATTTAACTTTTATCTTTTTAACTAGCCACTACTCAACCTTGATTTTTACTTATTCTTAAAAAACAAGTAAATACAGTGTAACTTCTATCTATTACTAAATTGCTAACTCCCTAAATTTTGCATATGTAAAATGTTCAGAAAAATATACCATATACTTAGGCTGATATTATACTAATTGTCATATGACAAAGAAAAATGTTACAAAAAGACATGTTTTGTTGTGATCGAGGAAAATAAATAATTTTTGAGACTTTTGAGAAATCCAATAGTGTTAGTTAAAGTTATGTAACATGTCGGGAATACATCGAAAATTGAGTTCAAAGACAGGAAAATGCGTTGTCATTCACTTAGCTGCAACACATTGTATCAATATCGCACCATATACATGCACAAATCATCGATAAAACAGCAACACTACAGAGCTCGGCTATCGCTCCAACAGCTTTAATTGAATGCAGGATAGAGAAGTTCTCAAGTATTCAAACTACGCTATCAAAGTTATCATTGCATTTTCAATAAATTACCGCCAGCATTAGCATTAAATTATTATTGATGCGTACCATTCTTACAGTATTTAATAGTCCAACATGTGTTAAATGTGTTAAATGAGTTTTTTTTTGCAAAGCGTTCAGCTTTCTTTATTATTTTTCCCGAAAGTTTCCCGAGTTTTCCTGGATAAATAACCTTTTTTTCATAAATGTTTGGACTTTCAAAATGATAAATTTGTAGGTTTTAAAGGTGTCCATTCAGAGTAAAAAATGTCAATTTTTAGACTGCCTCCTTTAAACATTAATTTCGCAGTCACATTGAAATATTCGAAATATTTTTTATTATTAATCTATTTTCAATACATGAAACTGACATGAAACAATGATTATAGAATTTGAAGAGTAAGGCAAGCAAAATTAACAGTAAAAGAATAAATCAAAATATTCTAATATAATCACTTGCGAAATTAATGTTTAAATCTTCTAAATAAC